CCTCAAAAAGTGAGGAGCTGAATGAGGTGGTTCAAAATTGAAAAACGAGTACTCCTTTATTTTTTTTCGAAATGAGGACCTCAAACGAGGCACCTCGCGAGTGAGGGGCTCATCACTAGTTTCGACTACAAGAAGACTTGTGGAAGAATAAAAAAGTGAGAGTTTAATTAATCAAGACGGGTGGGAGTTTTGTGTAGGTTTTAATATTAGCCACCCCGTTCTTTATTTTTGTATTATTTTGAATTTTTATTTTTAAGTTCCTGAAGACAATATTTTGTACTTCCTTCTTTTTTAAAGTCGTCTTTAGTTTAATAGTTTATATCCTCAAATCTATTCAACAGAATTTAATAAAATGTCGTACTGTTCTCTACGTTAAAATACACTCTAAAAATGGAGGCCAACAAAGAGCGATTCTCTCTTGGTTGACATAATATTGAATAAAACAATTACTTATTTACATAAATCAATCAAAGCTGAAACATTGAACCAACAAGTTAAAGTATGGTTAAATTAATAATTTGGTAACCCTGATTAATTCTATCAAATATATTTATCGTATCTATCATTACTGGATTTTTTTGTGTGAATCGATTATTTTTAATAGTTAAATTAAGTATGTTGAAGTATGTTGAAGCAATTTATACAAATATGTTGTTTATACAAATAGCAATTTATACAAATAGACTAAGTATGTTGAAGCAATTTATACAAATTAATCAAAATAAATAGGTAAAGTAATAGATTAGAAGATTTTTATTGTTGCAGTAATAAGTTTCTCGTATTTGATTTAACAAAGAACGTTAGTAGAACCAAAAAACCCTTTGTTTTTCAAACAACAAAGACTATTTAGTCAATTCAAAAACATGAATGATTAATCGTAACTACTTGACATTATTGGACTAACTAAAATTAAGCTGTTCATGCTACTAACAATGTATTTGCTAAAATAATTATCAAATTCTGATTGATTTAAATACTCTCTTACATGAATCAACTAAGAAAAGCGAGTGCCAACAAAGAGTGACTTTGTTAAATCAATCCACACAAACTTATCAAATTTACTTTTCAATCAAAAATCACTTTTCTTCTGTTTAAGACTGGTTTATATGGTTTATATCTTTCCTTGATAGATTATTGTATGTTTTTGTTTTAGTTTTTCGTTTTTATGCGACAGATAGCCGTTACATATTAGTCTGGCACTATTATTTGAATGTTAGTGATTATATATACACAGTAAGATCAATTATTAACACTTAAGACTTTGTTTTCACTTTCGCAAAACTAATATTAATAAATATCGGGAAATATTTAATTTAAAATTAAATTGTTTTAAAGTGTTGCCGCCAGTGTCAAATATGACGAGGCAAGTTTGTGAGAATATTGTTTGAATATTGTTATGAAAAAGTTTAATTCAACCAACATGTTGGTCGATATTAATATGAAACACGCCCATCATCTTCATAGGTGCCCGAATAGTTCTAAGTCTGCAAACTAGATGGCGTTGTTCATTTAATGCATCGCGGTATCAGTTTATATCGTTAGATTGTATAAGTAATATGCCGTTCAACTTAATATGGTTGGTTTGGTTGGTTGGTGTCGAATCCCATATTAAGTTTGAATTTAATATGGGATTCGAAACCAACCATTGCAGTTAATTACTTTAGCTCTTTGGTTAGGCTCTGAGCTCTGGTCTCCGAGTTTAAAGTCTCACTCGCTTTGGACCAAAAGTTCAGAATGATCAAACGGCTAACGTGGTTGGTTCTTTTGGTTGAATTACCATTGGTAAATTGGTTAGTATAATCATCTCATCTCATCTCATTGACCAATCTTTTGGCCGAATTAACTTCGGTAAATTGTTTGGAACAACCAAGTTTCATATTAATATCGACCAACATGTTGGTTGAATTAACTTCGGTAAATTAGTTAGTACAACGATGTTTCATGCTTATATTGACTAACCTATCGGTTAGAACTAAGGTAAATTGGCAAGTACAATCATATTTCATGGTTAAATTGACCAACTCTTTGGTCAAATTAACTTTCGGGAATTGATTAGTTTAGCCACGTTTTTCATGTTAATTTTTACCAACCTCTTGGTTGAATCAACTGTGGTAAATTGTTCATACAGTCACATATCATAGACATATCGACTACGATCTTATTTAAATTGAAGACTAGGCGGTAGTTGCTATAGTTATTTATAATGATCAAATTGAATGAAATTTTAACTATCTTAACAAAGTAACTATAGAAAAATAATAAAAACCAGCTTATTTAATGTATCTAACATCTTGTCAGGCTCATATGGAAACAAGATGCTTGGTCACATATATCACAATATTGTTTGATGTAACAATTTTTTTTTTAGAGTGTATATTAAAAATATTATCGCGATCTTTCTACGCTTTATAAAATAATTTAGAAAAAGAAGTTTTGTGTCTAATGTATGTACAGCAAAGAGCATTGTGTGGCTGACTTTCACGATTATTTTTATGTCGTTAAAAAATAAAATATTATTAATTGGATGGAATAATTAATAATATTGGACCTGAACGAGATCCCTGCGATACCGATGAATAAAAATAAGCCCCTGTGTTCTGTTTCATTCCTAATTTTTACTGATTTTCTATTAGCGTTCAGCGACACCTATTAGACTATGCAAATCCAAAATAACCGATTGCTGCTCATTTGAAGCCAAAGAAATTAAACAAAACTATGTATGATTTAAAAAAGGAAAGTGAGTCAAAAACACAGAAGATGAGGCAATAAAGGATGAGTAAAGTAAAACTTCGAAAAAATATTTTATTAGTGTCCTGTCAAATTTAAAAAAAGGAATTGTATGTGCAATAAAAGAGGCTTGTCCCTTCTAATATTCTTCAATTTAATTATAGTATCAACAATTTATACATGTAAAGTGGGGATGATATTTTTTTCGCCTTCGTATAGTGTTCGACTAGTTTACGACATAAACTAGTCGAAAACTAAATTAGTTTCGAAAAAATATTTTATTAGTGTCCTGTCAAATTTAAAAAAAAAGGGATTGTTTGTGCAATAAAAGAGGCTTGTCCCTTCTAATATTCTTCAATTTAATTATAGTATCAACAATTTATACATGTAAAGTGGGGATGATATTTTTTTCGCCTTCGTATAGTGTTCGACTAGTTTACGACATAAACTAGTCGAAAACTAAATTAGTTTCGAAAAAATATTTTATTAGTGTCCTGTCAAATTTAAAAAAAGGAATTGTTTGTGCAATAAAAGAGGCTTGTCCCTTCTAATATTCTTCAATTTAATTATAGTATCAACAATTTATACATGTAAAGTGGGGATGATATTTTTTTCGCCTTCGTATAGTGTTCGACTAGTTTACGACATAAACTAGTCGAAAACTAAATTAGTTTCGAAAAAATATTTTATTAGTGTCCTGTCAAATTTAAAAAAAGGAATTGTATGTGCAATAAAAGAGGCTTGTCCCTTCTAATATTCTTCAATTTAATTATAGTATCAACAATTTATACATGTAAAGTGGGGATGATATTTTTTTCGCCTTCGTATAGTGTTCGACTAGTTTACGACATAAACTAGTCGAAAACTAAATTAGTTTCGAAAAAATATTTTATTAGTGTCCTGTCAAATTAAAAAAAAGGGATTGTTTGTGCAATAAAAGAGGCTTGTCCCTTCTAATATTCTTCAATTTAATTATAGTATAAACAATTTATAAATGTAAAGTGGGGATGATATTTTTTTCGTCTTCGTATAGTGTTCGACTAGTTTACGACATACATAAACGAAGAGACAGCACGCTATCGGTCGCGAAGAACAGAGAGAAATAGACGTATTCAGTCACCCCGCAGACCGTTCGTGCCGCGTTGGACTGTTCAAGCAATGCTTGTAACTAACGTTCACACATAAACCAGTTTATCAGTAGACCGTAAACTAATCTATCGATTGATACCGAATAAACAGTCTAAAAAACGGTTCGTTCATTCAAAGCTTAATGACTGCAAACTAAAAGCTTAACGTGTCGAGTTCGAGATAATATTTATGTTCACCCATTTTGGTCGTCTAATCGCCACCTGCTAAGTAACGTTCCTAAATGTTGTTTCTTTAAATAGCTATTTGTCTTTCCAGCAGCGACGATCGAATTGTTGCTCCAGAAAGTGTGTGGCTGAGATCCCAGCGCCCGTGATATGCGCTACCCCCTCACCGCGCCCCCGGTGCCGTATACGCACCAATCCCTGGCTGGGGGCAACGTCGCCCCGCAGAAGGCCGCCTCAACTCTACCACCAGCAGTCGCTACAGTGCCCCCAACAGCAGCCTCATCAGCTACAACACGCCCCCTACTCGCTTGACTCATATCCAAAGCTTTCGAATAGGTCAGTTTAATTCACTGTGTAATTACGTAAATGTGAAAGTAAAAAGGCGCTCTTAATATTGTTACGACTTAGGGATCGGGATAAAAATCGCCTTTCTCGCAGACCCGATGTATATCTACGTGACACAGGTAGTTTCAACAGCGTTAGCGCATAACGCCATCTAGTAATGCGTAGACGAACCGCGTAACCGCAATCCGTAACAATATTATATCAGTTGTATTCAATCCGATCCCAAAAAATTCAATGCAAATATTCAGGTTGCCGTGTAAGGAATTGATTTTGCTTGAGGTATGAAGCCGTTAATTATATGTCAATTTTGATACGAATTTGATATCTGAAAATAAATATCGAAAGCCGATATATCGCGGGAAAAAATATCGTTTACTTATATCTTTTTTTTTTCAGAAGAAAATTATTTATTTATTTTATTTTCTTTGGAAAACGTACAGTAACGATAAGGGTAGTAACTAAATATGATATAAATGTACATAGTAAACAGTTTTCGCATATAGATATATCGATATTTATTGTTAAATCCTACTATCATATAAAACACGGATATCAAATCTAAAAATTAACCTGTAGTCGATTTAAATGAATGGCCTATGCTTTTCGAAGAAAGAAATGATTCAGTAAGATTTTATGCTCGATGTTTTTTTTTCAAATCAACAAAATTAATTTTAGTTTTAGGTTACTAGGTCAAGTTTACGCTGTTCGAACGCCCCTATATACCTAATTAGATTAGTTACGCTTTACAAACGATGGTATTCGTTTCGTTGCTTGTTTATATATTTTCATTAAGTATATTACCTAAATAGGTATTGCATTTTGATATATTTTCATGTATGCAGTAATAATTATTTCTACTTTAATGACAAATTACCATTTATTTACATTACAAAACAGAAACAAGCCATCTAAATTTAAGAAAATCTATATCTTAATGCTTTTATTTACAATATCATATAGCATGATTATGAAAACTAAAGTAACAGACCGTTTTAGGCACTGCCCTCTTTTTGGCCGTTTAGGACTTTAAGGCGTACTACCTACTTCACTCTGAATTGTTTTTTAAATGTCGTATTATGGCAAACGAAATAACCTATCATATAACAACTGTAATGTGCTCCTTAGTCTTAAAATGCCCAAAATCGGGTTTTATGCCCTAAATATTTTTAAGCCCTCACTTCAGGGACTCGGGCCTTTCTTATGGCTGGTTAAGGATGGGCCACGACCCTCCATGCTGGTTTAATGAGGATTGGAGGGTATAAACGATTGTAAATGCAGCCGAGACCAATAGCTTAACGTTGCGATGCACGGAGTTTCTTTGCGAAAGCTGCTTAATAACAATCTTATCCTAATGGAGCCAATGAGCTACTCAATATCTAAAAAAAAACTTTTTCCTTTCTAGATCGCCACATCTTTCTCCACACCTATCACCACACTTGTCACCACGATTGTCCCCTGAGCTTCACCGATATCGACGAGGTGGAGCGTCCAGTGATGAGGAGTGCCGTGGCATGAGGCCGCGAGGGAGAGAGACGGCAATATTGTCTGATGCTGATGTAGATTCGGATGGAGACACAGGGTTGGATGGAGGGGATGAGGATGAGCCTGATGAAACAGCATCGCCTGGTAGAAGGAGGGCAAGAAGGCGTAGGCCACCAAGACGTCCGCCAAGATCTGCAGGTAATTCTATTCTAGGTTTGAACTTGCCTTCATGAGAAACATAAAATCCAATAATAGGACAAGAACATAAAAATAAATAGTACAATCGGCGTTATCGCTAAGAAGCAATTTATTCCAGGCTACTGTTTCACTATGGACAAATAAAATTTAAATTTAAATAGGGTAGTCTATTTGGTGTCTTAAAGATATAAATACCTAGTATTATTATCCTATGATTTCTCGGCTTAAATTAAAGCTGGTTAGTATTCTGTAATAACGGGAACCGGCCAAGTTATTACAGCATTTAATTTTTATAATATATAATTTTATCTTGCAAGTCTGCGTATTCACTTACAATATTATTTATTTTTTATATATAAGAAAATATGCGATAATTTCTAAGAAAATAATTTTATTTTAAAGTTTTATATGTGGTTATGTAGAGTGTAAAAGATATGTTAACGTACTAAACTAGTTACTCAAAGTGTCCTTAGCTTAGCTTTAACGCACGCTTTTAAATTGTCGGGCCATTCGTCGATGGATTTACGAATGGTTTCCATTGGAAACTTGGTCACTGCTGCCTCCAAAGATTTCTTGAGCGACGCAATATTATTTTAATATTACGCTTAGAGCAGGCTATGTCCTCTAGCACAGACCACAATTTATAGTCCAAACGGTTTAAGTCCGGAATAGCCGAAGGCCAATCATCAGCCTGTATGAAGTCTGGAACATTTTGCTCAAGCTAAATTTTGGTAGTGCGCGCTGAATCCTGTTGGAATTATTGAAAGGTTTAATTACCGCTTCTAACACGGTATCTTGATACACATTTTTCGCAAAAATGGAGTTTTGTAACCTCTTGGTAGGAGACACCCCACCAAACCATGACGTATGCTGGATGATGGCCTCGCTGAACTTTGGCCACTACTTCGGAAGCTTCTTTAGAGCTGTGTGCATACAATCGATCATTTTGTTTGTTATAGTGCTCCTCGATACTAAAATTATTTTCATCAGTAAAGATAATTTTTCTGTATTTTTTGTCCGCCTATCGAAGTAACAGCTGTTTGGATCTTTCGACTCTCTTTTATTTTAGTGCCTGATTTAAGTATGTCCTGTGTTTCTCTGGTTAGCCCCTAGACCTAAGTTTTATGTGATTATCCGAGAAAGTGTCTTCGGTGGGATTCTCATTTCTATGGAAAGGATTTTCTGCTTTTTTGTGGGATTTTGCCGAATTCTGGCCTTGACTGCAATAACGGCCTGATTTGTGCGAATAGACCGCGGACAGACATGGTTTCAGTGTATCTTTGGATGGTACGATACATAAACATTCGGCTCATCCCGATCTTTTTCAATGTATGTATCAAAAATGTCGACTGGCTCCTTACCTACTTTGTACAGTGCAATTATTGCAAGCCTATTCTCATGAATGCCCTACTCCATTTTCAAAAACAAATAATTTCTTAACAAAAAAAAAACAATAATGGCGGGAAATAAGTCTATTTTTTTATCGTAGAAGCTAATGTTCGAAAGAAGTTAATGTTTTTTTAAATGTATGTAAATATATTTCTTTATTTCCTATTTAATTTTTATTTCTTACCCTTTGAAAGTAGAATTTATTTGATCAAACCTCTATGCTTTGCGAGACGCTGGCCGACTTCAGCGTCGTGTTAGAGACTGATTTTATTACAGAATTGCTAAGTTGTTTAAGAATTCAGTATAAAAATGACTTACAAATTTCGTAACTTAATATCAGGCGCAACTCCACCCCGTGTCCGTCGCCGTAACCATGCGCCGCCAGCGCCACCTGTCCGAGAAAAGGATCCACTCCTCGAAGCGGATCGGGAAGCCGAACGAAAGTACAGGGAACTTATCAGGGAAGCAGAGAAACTACTAGTCACTGTCTCTAGGGCTCCTCTCGAGCCACCGCACAATCCTCGCATTAGGGAGCTCAGAGCTACAGAGGTGAGGGAAGCTTTTATTACAATAATGCTATTGCTTACCCAAGTAACAATCAAGTTTTGCATGTTCTTAATTAAATTGTCCTCTTTTTTTTATAACCTCTGTAAGTCGTCAAAATGATGTTCATCTTTATTAACATGGTTGAATTGTTGCATGTATTCCTTTTACCGTGCACCATTTCATGTTTCCTTCACCTCCTAAAGGTGGAAGCTCCCCGTCGCAGCCCTGAACGAACACATATCACGAATTTCATGCGTGCCAATTCACCGGAGCCGCGGCGGCTGTCCCCTGTGGGACGGCGGTCGCCGCTAGCTGGTGCACCTCCACCGCCCCCTGTGGTGCCGCGCCCTGCCCCACATACGCCCGCCCCTGCCGACCGCCCCCACTCGGAGCCACCTAAGCGAAAAGCCTACGCCAGAGACGAGGTATTAGTCCTTTTTAAATATCGACTAGACTAGATCTCATGTTCAGAGAAGCTGTTCTAGGATGCCTATGACTCAACACCGACAGTTAAAAAATTCCTCGTGATGCAGATTTCGCAAAAGAAACAGTAACTTAGGTAAATAAGCCATCTATGTAACTTGGTAGATAATGTTCCCGTAAGAAATAAAATTAATTTCCAAAAATGCACGCGATACAAATGTTTAGTAGTAGTTTTGTTTAATGAGTAGTGCGCTTGAAAATGTAAGAAACAAGTACAAGTAGGTTGATATAAAATTCATTACAAAAAAAGAATATCATAGTGGTTCCATTCCTTATTTTCCTTATTGTCAACTCTTATATAAATATCTAGATTATGTTTGCGGTAATAATATCTAAAACAATAAGACCATGTAAGTAATTCCATATTCGATGTAGGCAGTCATTACCGATGTCATCACACTTGGGTAACTGTGAATGAATGGGTGTTTCCCAATTAGAGTATCTATTACGTGTCACAATATTTTACCTTAATTACCACCAACAAAGGCGTAAATTACAATTAATTTCTCAATTAAATGCACATTAAGCGTAATGCAAATATTTTTGAGTAATTTTGTTTAAATTATAATTCAATAATAATTCTGGAGATATCGAGAATTTTCGAATGCTAAATTGATAGGATTATTAAGCAGTGATTTTTACTAATATCAATGTAACAGTTGGTAATTAGTGTCCAATTATTCCAGGTGTTACAGACGTTAGAGGGATTACGGAAGAGCTTGCAGCAGCAGTCTGCATTGCTGGCGGTGCAGCGTACACGGCTCGACTCGCTGTAGTTAATTCCAACTGCACACCGTAATGGCGTAAAGGGAATCAACCCTGCCGAACCTTAGCTATAGACCCAGTTATGTTGTCTTCTAGTCTAAAGGCCGGTGCACTTTCGTCTGTTGAGCACACCGTAATTCTCTAAAGCAGAATTTGTTCTTACCAATGAATTAAGTTAAGGAAAGTTGAGTAGTTTAATCACAAGTTATCGAGTCAGCATCTATGTAGCATGAAAGAAAAAGACACAAACAACCAAAATAAATCCGATACTTTATAGAATAGCTGTTGTTGTTGTTCTATTGCAATTGTAAATATCGAAGATTTTGTAAATTTTTTAGAAGTCTTCAACGATGATGCCACGAATTCGATTGTATGATTTAGAAATGTATTTGAATTATTGTAAGTAATTTTGTTCCACACACGGTATATAGCAGCAGATAAGGTTTCATAAAAAGACTGAAATATTTGAAGCTTAAAATCGGTCGAAGAAAATCGAGGTTACCCGACGTGCTATCGAACGTATTGTGTATATAATTTTGTCTGCCATATCCAAAAATGAAAGAAATACTCGTAAATACGAAATAAAAAAAGATTTTAAAAATTAGTTGTTAATCTTCATGTGATATTCTACACAGATCTCATTTTATGTAAGTGTAATTTTATTGTTATCATTGTTGTAGTTAATATTTTCAACATCTATGTCGACAAAAGTGCAGCGGCCACGGTTTCATGTATCGCGAAAAGTGTAACTGTATTGTGATGACCCAAAAAGGCAGAAATACATAACTATGAATTAAGTTTATGAAAGATCTGGGGGCCAATTCTACTAAATAAATTTTGTTTAAATCGAATCGAAAACGGACCGAAACCGAATGAAACTACAGTTTTTAATGGTTTTTCTATTCTACTAAGTGACATACGATACAATTTCAGCTAAAATAGAGCTGGAATTGTATCGTTTGTAACTTTGTAGAATAGGAAAACCATTAAAAACTGTAGTTTCTTTCGGTTTCGACCCATTTTCGATTCGATTAAAAAAAAAAATTTGTAGAATTGGCCCCCTGATCGTTGAAGAAGTTGATCGTAATTTGAATGTGACGTGTTACTATAGTGTTTAAATGTCCAGAAGCTTCATTCAAAACATTCGAAATTGACGTGTTGATTTTGGATAACTTTAGTACATGCAAAAACAACAGAGTTATCATAGGCATTATGAAAATTTCTTATTTTTCATATTTCGTGGTGGCAATATAAACTTTTGCTACAATGAAAGCGATGAGTCTTGAATTTCTGTCAAATAAATACTGAATGAAACATAAATTAGGGATAATATTAACATTGCGATGTTGGGTAAAGCCCTTCATCAGATGGATATTAAGATTCATCACGAAACGGTTACACAGTAGTGTTATTGAACACCAGTAGTTCTTCCAATGTCTAGTCCTTCCATCCTATTAGCCCTTCTGTTGTAGTTAGTCTAGTTGTTACAGTTATAATATTCATAGGCGAGGCCATTTTACATCTTCCACTAATACTTGTAGCGTCTTTTACTATTTAGTTAGGCTAGAACGGTTGTGTGTTTGTAGCGGTCATTTGGTATTTGACAATAAACCTTGTTACGTTTCCATGTTCTGTTTTTCGTTATCATACTTCATAATAACTTAAACTCTGAATTGTAGTTTTAAATCTGTAAATTTTCAGCTATTGGTATCTATACAATAACTATATATGTCCATATATTTTTTATTAAACTATGTATTTCTATTTATCTGTTGAGTGGTTCATATTTTTGTTGATATTTTCAATAGGTTCATATTTTCAAACTACTTCTCGCAATTGTTTCAGACAGTTGAAGTCTCAAAATTTAAATGAATGAATGAATTAATGAATATTCCTTTTGATCTAAAAATTGCCTATTTTTGATAAAAAACGGGACCGGAAAGTCCGAATCCATTCTTAAGCCTTGTGCCACTTGTTTGGAATAAGTTTATCAACTAGAGTTAATTTGAAATGTATTGCTGCTTTATCAATACAGGTTTTGTTTATAATATTTTTTCTTTTTTTTATTTAGTTAGTATATTCAATCAGTTTGTCTTCTTAGTTCTAGTTTTTTCGTTGCCGCTACAACTATCAGCTATATACAGGTTAGAAGTTGAGTAGTGCGTGTATCGTTAGTCCTAGTGCGGTCTGGCTATAGGTGAGGCGAGAAAGACTGCGGTATACAATCTGTTGTATATTAGTATATTGTATTGTAAACTCCGTTTGTGCTTGGTGATGACAATTTTCGCACATTGTTATTCTTGTATAAGTATAAAACAGATATGAGCACACTTTTTGATGTGGTTTTACCGTTATTTCGGATTTCTTTCTGGTTTATCTGTATTAAAAGTGATATGAATGATTTTTATCGCATAATCTTTATTTATTAATTATTTAATGTTACTGATAAAATTGTTTCTTATAATATAGAGGAATTTTCAAATATTTCAAGTTTGTTTTATAAGGATGAAACCAAGATATTATTGGGCGTATTTAAGCATGTTTTAATAATGTGCCAATTTTAACTGTCTCCGGAAATGAACACGACTTCCTTTTTATTGAAGGCAGTTTTTGGATTTATATGTCATATACAAAGGTTATTAGTTACTGTTAAGTGCATTGTCGTTGCCAAGCATGACGGTGTAGCAGGGGCCCAGGAGGAGTCCCATATTTTTGTTAGTGCAATTTTGGGGGGACGCCCGTGTACCACGCTCTCCCCAGCTGATTATGTAAATATTTATTCACCAAATGTTTACTGTAAGTATAAATAAGATTTATACGTTTAGTTGAATTTTCATTAAAATATTCATATGGAAATTGTGTTTCATTTTGCTATAATATGTAAAAGTTAGGTACCTACCTAACTGGTTTCTTGACATTTTTTTATAGTTTAATATAACTATTTACTATGAATAGTAATCGTTTCTTAGTAAGTGAAGAGAAAGGTAATCATATATGGGGTTTTCACAGGAGGTATTCCATGAAAAAACTGGATTTGGATAGGTGTCGCTAGTGGCACTAACGACTAAAGCAGGAAAATGAACTTTGCCAGTGGCGGCCTTGGTGCCTAGCGGTGTGTGTAGATAACTTTTAACTTTAACTACGATGCGATTAGTACAACACAGAAAATGAAGGTGGCGTTAGGTACGTAAAATCAATAAAACACATAGTAGGACCATTTAATAGAATAATAATTTGAAATATGCATGTAAAAAATATAATCCTGATGGGAATTAGAAGGGAACAATAGATTAACTACTAATACGCAATTAAAGTACAGCCTGTAACGAAGGAACGTATAAACGCAACTCAAGTCTTCTTTCAGCTTTATTTATTGAGGGGGTTTGTTTGACGATTTTTTTTATCAAACTTTTTTAGAAATAAATTAATAATTATTAAGCATTAATAAATTTGTTCTTTCCTGGTCTATGTTAATGAAAAATATTATGATAACGCAAAAGTAACATATAAGCTTCAACATAAACTAAGTTTTTGTAATTCCCTAATAATGTAGCTTTTAATTAAAAAAAAATAAAAAAGAATCTGGAGGAGCTGGGATTTGAACCCAGGACTTTCAGCATGCGAAGCAGACACTCTACCACTGAGTTACACCCCCGATAAAATCAAATGATGAAATAACAGTACATTTCCTACATACTATGACGTAGTTTAATTTATCTTTTGTGGGACATACCACAGTACTAATGGGCTATTTTAAGCTCCCATTAAATCATGAGTACTCATCTCAAAGTGAGCGTAGTTAATATTTTCTGTATGATATCACGTGTATTTTGCGTGTAAGATTAGTATTAATTATTTATGATTTCAAATGTATAATTAATTAAGTAGTTATTATTATAAGATATTTTCCATTTCAATAAATGCAATTAGTGATTTAAGCTAAATAGACTACCTACCTAATTATTCCGCGTTAACTAGGATCAATCCTTTGTAGGTACTTATAAGAGATCAAATGGCTACATAATGTTAAATGTAAAATTAATTGGAGAGAGGTTAATTAACTGACTTCAAAATCGAAATTGGAGGTTCTATGTTCGATGACGATGTATGTTTTTATGTAGGTATGTTCTTCGATTTTCCGTGAATGGTTACAAAATTTGTGATTGGTTCCACTACTATTATTAATTTGATCTTTTCGTATTATCATAATAATAATTATTGGCTAGGTCAATTTATTTTACATATTAGCACTTCATTATTGCATTGACCATATGATCATATACAGGTACAGTCGACCAACAGCAAGTCAAGATAAACAAAACTGTCAAATTGCTACACTCGGATTTTCAACCTTAAGACATCGTGTGTAGAGGTCAAAACCCATTGAGTAAATTTGACATATTGTGGAACTTAACGTACAGCCGTGAGTACAATGATACGTTTTATTCACACAGAAGGATTTTATGATAAGCCTATATTTAAAGGATATTTAATACAGCAGCTTCACTAGAAAAATGTGAGTATTTGCAAATTTTATGAATATTTTTACGTCATAAATCCTAATTAAATTTCTTGGAAATGGAACAAAGTAGTGTTCTAAAATCTGGCTCAAGTCCTGACCTATATTATGACACAGTAATGGCACGACTTTCCCGTAATCTGATCACGTGTTTACCAAATGTATTTCTCCGAAAATATTTACAAAAAATGCAATAGCTACATTATTAATTTACTTAATACTCACAGATATATTTAATCACGTGTAAACCAGCCATTTACACTAGTGAGCGTTTGAGAAAACATCAGAAAAATTTCGAAATGATAGTGATATTGCCAGATACTTATTTATATTTAAAAAAGGAACACGTGCGAATCTGGGTTTTTATAACAGCGGCCATTATGGAAATTGTCGTTATATTATTGGGCAGATAGAGAGTAACAATGAAAACATTTAATATGTACCTAGTGACGATAAATAGCCTCATTTCTATTCATTTGTTGTGAGAACTTT